AAATTAGACCTCCCATTTGATCCTGCAATCCCATTACTAGGTATCTACCCAGAAGAAAAAATATCATTTTATCATAAGGATATCTTCAGTAGACTTCAGTAGACTCAAATTAATCAACAAAGAGCCAACAATCCCATATATCACTTGGCAAGAGAGATGAATAGAACCTTCTCTAAAGCTCAATTTACAATTGTCAAATTGTGGAGACAACCCAAATGCCCACCAACCCAGGAATAGATTAACAAGCTGTCGTATGTGTATACCATGGAATACTCTTCAGCCATTAAAAGAGATGGAGACTTTACATCTTTTGTATTAACCTGCATTGGCATAGAACACATTCTTAAATGAAGGCAGTAGATGAGCAAATACAAAGTAGGGGGTAAAAGAAGGAGGGAGCAGGGAGAGGGAAAAGGGAGGAGCATGGGGGTCATGGTGTATGGCACATCTTTTCGGGGTGGGACACAATTATAAGACAACTTTACCTAACAAATGCAATGAGTGTAACCTAATTCTTTGTACTCTTAATGAATCCCAAATAAGTTAAAAAAAAAAAAGAGTAATTAGAGTTCAGAGAAGTCCAGGGCACCGGCATCGGCAATCGCATGCTCACTGTACAAGGGGTCTCCTGTTGCCTGTTTCCGGCTGTTATCAGAAGTTAGTCACTTCCTTGCATCAGTGGTTGATGTAGCACTCAATCAGTGGTAAAACAGATTTTAAAAGTGACTTACCTATGACTAATGATTCATAATGAAATAATAGGTTATATTCACCGAACTGGGGACAATAAGACACAATGTTTTAATCAGACTCTGCAAAAAAGACAAAAATGGGTGACTTGAGGAATACAATCTGCCTAATAAGTAACTCGAGGTCCTCCTCTCTTTAGGTTGTAATGCTGAAATTAGTATCTGCTGAAGAGTTGCAAGGTGCCAAGCACCCTTTAATGCTCACAACAGTCCTTTGAAAAGGTATTATTTTTATTTTCCTCATTTTACAGATGAAACATTGAGGAACAGCAAAGAGAGGCAACATGGTCTCTGTCCCACGTCCAGAAAATAGAAGGTCAGGGTTTGGATTTGTCAACACCTTCTGACTTTAGAAGCCATACTCTTAGTCACTGCTCTATATAGCACTCCTATATGTCCCATAAACAGAACCAGAGCAACAATAATAAAAGTGAAAAAGAATTGGGGCAGCGCCTGTGGCTCAAAAGGGTAGGGTGTCGGGCACCGGTCCCATATGCCGGAGGTGGCGGATTCAAACCCTTCCCCAGCCAAAAACTGCAAAAAAAGAAAAAAAAAAAAAGAATTAACCATATTGCACTGTAGGAAAATGTTTCACAAAACTGACATCTGAAAAAAAAATCAGTTCTAGCATCACTTAATTATGTCATTAAACCACAATGTCCTTTTCTTGCTTTCTTTTCCTTTAACATGTAAAGCAAAGGTAAGGATGCTAGAGATTAACAGATACTTTGTTGCTTAGAACTGTTATTAAACCACTCAAATGCTAGATTAACAGACACTTTGTTGCTTAGAACTGTGCTATTAAAACACTCAAATGCTAGATTAACAGACACTTTGTTGCTTAGAACTGTGTTACTAAACCACTCAAACAAACAAACTACATGCATGAAAATGTAGCACGGACATATCCTTCCAAAATGTACCAACACACGACTTTTGTCACCAACTTTCCAATATGAGTGAAGCCAGTTTTCTAACTATCCTGACATTTTATTATAATTCTGAAAGATAATATTTACCTACGAGACTGAATATGTGTCCTGCATTTTTATATGGTCCCAACATAACCATAGAATTTACAAATAATTCCCTACTTTTCAGATCTGTTGGGTTCTTGTCCTTTCAGAATGCAGTACTTACTTCTGCTATTTAGCACAAGCAACCCCACAGCTCCCAGTACAGAGTATGTGCTAAAAAATTGCTTGCTATGTGGATGAGGAGGGGATTTAGTGATGTTTTCACTATTTTTGGATGTTTAGCTTCTGAATTTCCTTCTAATTTTGGGAGAATTCCCACTTTTTAGGAGACTTCACATAGAAACTAAAGCCAGATATGGGCTCCCCCAGCTTCCCGGATGCTGGACTGACCCAAGCTCCACTGGTCAGAGGCACCTGCCCGGGGGGAGACTGGTCTGAAAAGGGGAGGGTGGTAGGAATCCTCTCTAGGGGAAAACTGCAAGCTTGACAAAACTCATTACATAGGAAATACATTTCAAACAGTCTTACTTTTATGAAAATACTTAAGTATCCAGTCACCTGAGCACAGTCTGCACAGCCCGGGAGGCCACTGATGAAGCTGTACACGTCCTCCACGGTCCACTTCTGAATATCTTCACCCAGGGAGAGGTTCCCTCCAGCTGCCACCAGTGCATGAGGCCCTTTGAAATGGAAAGGAAATTATTTTGTGGTCTAACACAAGAGCTGAAAGGATCTTTAATGATAGCTTTACATTTAAGCAAAGAGGTTCTGGATTTCCAGCTTCTCTCAGATTCCAGCAGAAGGCCCTGCGGAGTTGACTGTCCTGGTTAACGCTTCTGTGTTCTGTTACGTGATTGTCAGGCTCTTTAGGTGAGGCAAGAACTTAAACCGTATCCTTACCAAATGGCAAGCAGACACGTTGCAGGGAGGCGGTTGGTGTGGTGCCTGTGCTTTAAAATACTTTTATCTGAGGATGCGCTAGAAAACTACCCAGCGAGTGTTTTCAGGGGGCAGTGCATTAGCGTCCTCAAACTGCGGCCCGCGGGCCACATGCGGCCGGCCTAGGACATCCATCCGGCCAGGTGTTTTTGCCCCGGCTGCCTGTCCTGCTTAGCAGCCCACTCGTCGCGGGCCCGCAGTTCCGGCTCTCCAGCGGTCTGAGGGACAGTGAACGGGCCCCCTGTTTAAAGAGTTTGAGGACCCTTGGAAGGCACCACAACAGTAATGGACGCTGAAAGGTAGTGCTTCTGCTTAATTGCCTTTTCACCCTGCACTTAGATAACAGGGAGGATAGCATTCATGAGTTTAATCAAGAAGCAATTAACGGTAAATTAAAAATTTACTTTATAATTCTGGTAGTTTTCCCCAAAATCACTGATACTTACTTTCCCAGCCTTTGGTGAAATTTCTCTCTAGAGCAATACAGACAGACTAGTTTCCTTCACTAAGATGGCTTATTGGAACAGATGGAAAGTGACTTCAAGAAGAAAGGATTCTAAACAGGACTGAGGAAAAGAAGGATAAAAAGAGATGTGTTGGCCGCAGCTCACGGAGACCCGAGGCCGGGGAGGGTCCGCCGCCGGCGCCACACCCACCTGGCGGAGACGACTGAGGAGGTGGGGCGCAAACCCCGGGCTTCTCGCGACAGGCTGCGAACACCTGCTCCAAGGGCTTCTCTCTCTCCGCATCCCCCGTCTCCGCGTCTGGGGGCGCGGCGCGACATCCCCAGGGCTCCCCCCCGGCGGGGTCGCGCTCTCCGCGGGCGCCAGTCCTGACCGCGGGCGGCTTGGCCCCGGGAGCGCTGGACGCCAGGCCGCTGCACGCTGTGATCTCCGCGCGGTCCGCGCGCTGGGCCTCTGCATAGGGAAACGCGTGAGTCGGGCGTGGCAGCTCTCCCTGTGCTGGACTCTTGGAATTCTCGGTTAGGCTGTCCAGGACCTTCAGATTCCCTGCCCCTTTCCTGAGTCTACGGCATTTCTGTCTCCAGCTCTCGGTCAGGTGTGGTCCAGTTGCCACCAGCATGGGGTTTCCCTGCAGGCTCCCGAGGGCGCTTCTGTGGACGTGCAGGTCGCCGGCGGGGAGCAAGCCCGGGGCCGGGCAGGCGGCGGGGCCCGCGGGGACAGTGGGGCCGCAGAGGATCGGTGGCCCCAGGCCTGCCAGGCCCTTGGGATTCACTTTCTCCATTCTCCTTTGCTGGTAAATGGCGTACATTTCCAATTCTGTCCTGAAAACAAAATAGCCTATCTTATACATCCTAAGAAAACCACTAGAAATGTAATCAGTGTCCCCCTGCCTTCCCTAAAACAGGGCCTCTACTTCTCCCGTGTCCTCTCATAGCCTTCGTTCAGGGGACACGCAAACCTGCCCGGACTCAGTCTTCACAGCGGCCGGGAACAGGGCAGGGTGAAGGAAGGTAAGTTACCCGGAGCTGGCAGCTTTTTTTTTTTTTTTAGAGTGCAGTGGTTGTCACAGCTCACAGCAACCTCCAGCTCCTGGGCTTAGGCGATTTTCTTGCCTCAGCTTCCCGAGTAGCCGGGACTACAGGTGCCCGCCACAAGGCCCAGCTATTTTTCATTTGCAATTTGCCCAGGACCAGGTTTGAACCCGCCACCCTCCCTCTATGGGGCCAGCGCCCTACTCACGGAGCCACAGGCACCGCCCAGGAGCCAGCAGCTTCTCGCCAGATACTAATTCTCAGAGTAACTAAGGTACTGGGAAGAGGCTTTGCAACTTCGCAGAACCGTCTCAGTGCAACTGAAGAAAGGCACCAGGCGACACAGGTCCCGGGGCGGGGGGCACCTGCCGGTGTCCTGCTCGCTTCACTTTGCTGACTGGTCACCCCCTGGACAGTACCGCCTCTCCCTGGACCCACACGCCGCCACCACTGCGGAGCTGTACTCCCCTGGACACTGCTGCCAACGGCCAGTGGTGAGCTGACTCGGGCTGTCTGGGCTCTGAGGGCACAGTCTGAGGTTGGGTGGGCATATTGGCTCTTAGCTTTGGGTAAAATTGAAGTTATTTAAGACAGAAATGCCAATAGGAATTTCAGAGAAATCACAGCTGGGCACTTTAATTATGGAGCATTGATAAATGGTTACCATCTGTGGGTTAATGCTGCTGTGGTTTCTAATCTTGCTTTTATCCTTAACCAACTGCACATGAGGAGGGAGTGAATGGCCAAGAGCCTGAAGACTAAACCAATAAAGCAACGTCGTTAATTACCTGGCAGTGTGATGCCTTTGAATCAGCTCATTCCTTCTGGCCACCGCCTTTATAGATTCAGGCGGTAAAACGCCCCAACCTTAAAAAAAAAACAAACCACCATCACACCCCAGAAAAAAATTAAAAACACGTATTTAGAAGTAATAAAATGTACTGATTTAAAATAGCATTTGCAAAAAAACCCCCAAACCACCAGTTGAGCACAAAGTTGGGAACCGTGTCTGATCATCCTGTTCAGAACCTGACCATGGCTTTGGAGACTGTAGGATAAACACTAGATAACTTTTTGGTTCTTTTCTTTAATTGCTGGTCTCATGGTTGGTGGGTGACATTTCTGCAGCATTCAGAAGGGAAAAGATGAAATGATTTGGGAAACTCTTGATTTCTTGCCCTTTTGGTCTTTTATTGTACATATTTATTTATGGGACACAATTCAATGCCTGGATATATGTGCACTGGAATGATTAAATCAAGCCAATTATCATATGCCTGACCTCACATATGTATTATTTTGTTGTTAAAAGGTTTAAAATCTGCTCTCTTAGCAATTTTCAAGTATACAGTGTATTGCAACTAGTTGCGGTCATGTGCTGTACAGTAGATTCTAAAACTTATTTCTCCTGTCTGAGACTTTGTACTTTTTTTTTTTTCTCACTTTGTTGCCCTTGGTAGAGTGCAGTGGTGTCATAGCTCACAGCAACCTCAGACTCTTAGGCTTAAGCAATCCTTTAGCCTCAGTCTCCTGAGTAGCTGGGACTACAGATGCCCCCCCCACAATGTCTGAATATTTTAAGTAGAGACGGGGTCTCTCTCTTGCTCAGGATGATCTTGAACTCCTGAGCTCAGGCAATCCACCTGGCCTTGGGCTTCTAGAGTGAACTTCATATTCTTTGACCAAAAATCTCCCTATTTATCTATTCCCACCTTGATCTTTTGCTTTTGAAGTAAAAATCAATTACCTTTTAACAAGAAGAATCAGTTGACCTTATTATTATTATTTTTAATAAAAGTACTTTGGAAAGAGAATCTTACATATTCTTACTTATATGTGGGAGCTAAATGTTAAAGCAATTTATTTCATGGAGGCAGAGAGTAGAATGATGGTGCCAGAGGCTGGGGAAGGTAGCAGGGAGAGGGTAAAGTGCCAATGGTTGGTAGGGGGCACATACGTAGTCAGAGTGAGACAGAGCGAACAAAGTGACAGCACAATAGAGTGACTATAATTGACAATGAGTTATGATATGCTTTAAGTAACCAGAGAAGTGGAATTGGAATGTTCCTAACACAGAAATAATAAATGCTGGAGGTGATGGACACCCCAGTTACCCTGATTTGATTAATTCACATTGTATGCCTGTATGAAAACATCACATGTGCCCTAGAAAGACACACAACTATTATGTAACCATAATGATGAAATATAAAAAAATTTTAAAGTGCTTCTTGATGTACTGAAATCTCAGAAAATAAATGCAACGGGGATTTAAGTGTATAAAGTAAATTTATATTACTGCCTCTGGATAGAGTTTTCAGTGTGTTTGAGGCCCACGTGATCTTAGTGGAGTTGGTTAGCTATTATGTCCTGAATGTCTGGCAGCAGCACCCCCAGATTTCAGGGCTCTGTTCGTGCCTGGGAACAGTGCCACACTCACTTCCCTCCCCTGGACTCCTAACCTGCTAGAATCTGCCCCAATACTTTTCTAACCGCCTATGGTGAAGGGCCAGAGTTTTTCTCTTTACATTTCTACCCTGTTATGGAAATACTTTGAACAAGTACAACAAAATTGATTCGTAGGAAATTGATATGGAAACAAGGACAAAAATTATTAGATTAGGCAGTGCCCCATGCCTCAGAGGAGTAGGGCACCTGCCCCATACGCTGGAGGTGGTAGGTTCAAACCCAGCCCCGGCCAAAAACTACAAAACAAAACAAAACAACAACAACAAAAAAAACAGACATAAATTCACCCTGTCAACTTGCTAGAAAATTTTCTAAGTCCCTACTCTGTCCTGTTTGTGTAACACTTCACAGACCAAGGCTGGTCTGCAGACTGTACTAACAATGACATACACACAAACTGTACTTAAGTGCGTATTAGGTGTTGATGTAGTTTTACATGTAAGTTTGTCCTCCTAATAAGAGGGGAAGCATAATGAGGGCAGAAACTGTGTTTTATACTTGCTCTGCACCAAACCAGTATGTCTCATTAAATTCTGATTAGTTTATTTCAAAATAAGTCACACAATATGTATTTTTTTCCAGCAAGGCTCTTGTTATTTGCAAAGTTCAGGCGGCAGATTCCTAGGAGGCCTCTAGGAATCCTTCTAAATCTGAAAGTCTAGGTTTTTTATAGTTCAGTGACTTCAAGATGCACTTTTTTTGACAGCTGGTGTGTGTGAAGCACCAGCCCATGGCATCCTGCCCACGGGTGCAGAGACAGCCCCCTAGGGAGGCCGTCCAGGGGGGTACTGCACTGCTGGCCTGGAACGCAGGACCCTCTGAAGTCTGGACTCACACACCTAGTCCTGCTCATCCTCTTTCCCAGATAGGCAGGATCAGACATCAAGGTGTCCAGCTGTGCTCAACCATTCCCTACCTGACATCCTGATTTTTGAAGTAGATCCTCATCTCTGTTCCAATTTTACTAACTTGCTTAGTAGCTCAGAGTCTGAAGGACTGAGGCCCCTCTTCCCTTACTACTCCTTACACTTCAACCTTGGTGGGAGTTGGGGAGGAGATCAGACCTGTGTCCCTGGGACGAGTGCTGTTCCCACCTGCCTGGAAATCCAAATATTGTGATTTCTGGATTCGTCATCACCAAGAATGAGTCAGCAGTGCACTGCTCCACCCACCTGCTGACCTATCGGCTGTAATTAAGGGCTATGGATTACTAGGCACTGCCTGCCAGAGGGGGCTTCTGTCTGGGTCTGCCTTCATGACTGCCTCCTCTGGTCCTTGGACCACTTGTTTGAGTAGATCTAATATCACACTGGGCCCTTGCTTAGATGCCTGTTCCCTCCTGCTTGTGGTGGGCAGAGTGCTCACGTTAAGGCAGGCCCGTCTCTTCTTTGGCCTTAGCATGAGTTGTATTTCTTTCTGCATCAAGTTTTTCACTTCACACGGTTCCCATCTATGAAGAGTTGTTGGGATTGTGGAGCAGGGATGAACAGAAACTCAGGAACATGGTTCTGGGGAGATGAGGTGCACCAGTTTGATCTTCAATGTTGCAGGAAAGTTCTTGCCTCCTGGTTTCTCCTGAACCCTGTCAGTCATGTTCTCACCAACACAACTCCACTAAAGTTGTGAGCATCGAGATCATCAATGACCTCCACAAGGTGCCAAATACGATGACACCCTCTGCCCTGTGGACGGCGTACTCCACGCGCTGCCCTCTCTCCCTCCAGATGTGAGGACACACTCTGCCCTGTGGACGGCATACTCCACACGCTGCCCCCTCTCCCTCCAGATGTGAGGACACGCTCTGCCCTATGGACGGCGTACTCCACACGCTGCCCATCTCCCTCCAGATGAGGACACGCTCTGCCCTGTGGACGGCGTACTCCACACGCTGCCCACTCTCCCTCCAGATGTGAGGACACACTCTGCCCTGTGGACGGCGTACTCCACACGCTGCCCATCTCCCTCCAGATGTGAGGACACACTCTGCCCTGTGGACGGCGTACTCCACACGCTGCCCCCTCTCCCTCCAGATGAGGACACGCTCTGCCCTGTGGACGG